CATCTTTCTTCCTAATTAGCCATGCATAAAACTCTACTTTGATCCTAAACACAGAAGAAACATTATAATACCTGCCTAGTTTGCTTTTTGAAATTAACAGATTTCAAGGTTCTTCTTACATCAGGTCATTCTACTCTCTCTCTACACTCTTCCATACTAATTCCCTACTTGTTCCATACTAATTCCCTACTTGTTCAATACTAATTCCCTACTTGTTCCATACTAATTCCCTACTTTCCATCTTAATTTCCCATTTATTTCTCATCTGACGTATCCTTGTCTGTCTTTTACCAGGAAAAAACACTTTGACATTTCTTTAAGATCTTTGAGCATGAGAAAATAGCAAATGGAAATTGTTGAAGCATATTCTAGAATTGATTTAGCTTTGATATGATTTCAAACCTAGTTGAGTAATCATTTCCAGCATTGATTTCAAGTCTAATATAAAATAAATGATTTATTTATCATATGAAAGAGACAACATTGCATACCTTCAAAGGTCTCAACAGAAATAAGTGATTTGTCAAGTTGCATAAAGTTCATCAGTTTTAATATTTTTATAATCATATTTTTACTTGACAATTTCTCAGTTTTGCCAGGATCCTTTGAAGACTTTTTGTAGAAAAGATGTGACTTACCAAAACTGGTTATCAGTTAAAGTCCCCGTCTAAAGTTTGAAAATATTTTTTTATCATTCATTTACTATTTGTCAGGATTTAAAAAGTGATATTAGAGATTTTTTAACAAAAAAAGTTGTGAGCGTTTCATTTCTCAAATATTCAAATTTCCCGCCATTTTTCAAAAAAAGTTGCAATTTCTTAAACATCAAATATTTCCTAATGCATTTCAAAAAAGATTATCTTTTTAACACCAATGCAAAGGTTGAACAAAGGACACACTATTTCAATAATAAAATGCCATATTTAATGGGCCACTTCAATGTTTCAACATATCAAAAATATTTTGAAACATTAGTGATGTCACTAAGGTACCAAAAAATTTTTGAAAAAAATTGAAATTTTTTTTTCGATGTCAATCTTTTCTAAATATGTTAGACTTTCATAAAAAAACAATGTTGATTGTCTAATCAGGTTAAAAGGAAGAATAAATTATGTTTTAGATATCATTGTACCATTGGTTTCTATGAGAACTAAAATTTTGAAATGCATTTTTCTCAGAACCATTTTCATGCACTGATAAGTTCATTTCTCGCTTATTTATGAACCGATTTTCTTAATTTTTTCGGCAAAAAACATGGGAGGATGAATGCTATGCATTGGTATGAATTGTGGCTAATTAGAAGATATAAGTGACCTCCAAAAGTTGGTTTTAAATAAATTCACAAATTTTTGAACAAAAAGTCTATCAAAAACCACTTTTTGAAATTAAAAAAAAAAGTTTCACATATCACACTTTGATGACATTGGGTAAGACTACAATATAAGCCAAAGTGGTTTAAACTTTATATGGGGCCTTTAAGAAATTCTAGCTATCGTTTTTATATTTGTTTATATCCAAAATACTGTATTCATTTATATGTATGTGTGTGAACTGCACACCATCTAACAAATATGGTATAACACGAGCATGCTTTCAACTCAGTCCCATATGTAGTCTGTAGTGGAATTGTTTCATATTCACTACTCTCAGACTAAGTACAGAGTGTACAATACATTTCTGAACCTTTCTATTCAACTTATAATTTTCAGAAATAAAATTTAAAATTCAATATAAAAATCTAGAAATAAGTAACTCAACTTTTATTTAAATTTCAAACAAAATTAATTTTCTTGAATTATTTTGAGTTCCCCTGTAGATTCAGTGTGACTGACACAGGCCCGTCAGATGGGGGGGTGCGATGGGTGCGACCGCACCCCCCTTTTTCACCCCCCAAAATATTTTTTTTTTTTGAAAAATATTTTTTTGTAATTTTTCTTCATTGACTCATACACTTTGAAAGTACCCAGAAAGCACCAAATAGCATCTTTAAATTGTAAAATTTTCTAGGGGTATTCGCCTCCCCTCACACCCCCCCCCACAAAACAATGGAAAAGTTTTTTCTCAGACACTTTTAAAGTGCCCAGATATCATCAAATAGCTCCTTGATATAGTTAGTGTTTCTGGGGGACTTACTCCCCCTCTCTTACTCCCCCTCTTGCATCTTGCACTTGCACAACCCCCCTCCTCTGGCGCCCCCCCCCCCTTGACCCCCCCCCCAAATAAAAATTGTGATTTTCTCAAATTCTTTAATTGACTCATACACTTTGAAAGTGCCCAGAAAGCACCAAATAGCGTCGTAAAATTGTAAAATTTTCTAGGGGGAGTGGGCCACCCCTCACACCCCAAACAAAACAATGGAAAAGTTCTGAATTTGTTTTATGTATTGTCTCAGACACTTTTAAATTGCCCAGACATCATCAAATAGCTCCTTGATAAAGTTAATGATTCTGGAAGACAACACTTACTCGCCCTCTGGCATCCCCACTCCACCTCCCCCTCTGGCAGCCCCCCTCCGTTAACCCCCCCCCACCCCGAAAAAATTGAGATTTTTCAAATTTTTTATTGACTCATACCTTTTGAATTAGTGCCCAGAAAGCACCAAATAGCATCTTTAAATTGTAAAATTTTCTTGGGAAATAGGCACTTTTAGGCACAGACACTTTTAAAGTGCCCAAACTTCATCGAATAGCACCTTGATATTGTAAATTTTGATATGGGGGACAAACGCTTGCTCCCCCTCTGGCACCCCAGCCCCACCTCCCCCTTTGACACCCCCAAAATTTGAAAAAAATTGTGATTGTTTTTCAATGTTTTTTATTGACTAATACACTTTAAAAGTGCCCAGAAGCACCAAATATCATCTTTAAATTGTAAAATTTTCTAGGAGAGTTAGCCACCCCTCACATCCCCCACAAAACAAAAGAAAATATTCTGAATTCCATGTATTGTCTCAGACATTTTTAAGTGCCCAGACATCATCAAATAGCACCTTGATATGGTCAATGTTTCTGGGGGACAACCCCTTGCTCCCCTACTGGCACCCCACCCCACTTCACCCTCTCATCCTCTTTGACACCCCCTAAAGAATTTGAAAATTTGACTCATAACGCACAGGCGTACCAGATGGTTGCAAATTCGCTCCAAATACAACCAAATTTCAAAATTTTCCATTTTACACTTTGAAAGTGCCCAGAAAGCACCAAATAGCATCTCAAAACTGTAAAATTTTCTAGGGGGAGTGGACTACTCCTCACATCCCCCACAAAACAATTGGAACGTTTGGAAGTTGCATGCATTTGTTAATTCCAAACCAATATGGGGAGTAACTGACCCCCCCCCCTCTGTCTTATGCGATTTGATTTACAGGGCAAAAAAATGCCAATTTTATATTCTCTTTAGTAAGCTAAAAACCGCACCCCCCTTGGAGAAAAGTGTCTTACGGGCCTGCTGACATAATATAAAATCACACATACAGGGTGATCCTGTATCAGAATGTACTAAGAATTGTTATCCACAAGGCAAATAATGTGATGGATTTACTACTGTAAGTGGAGATAAGAAACTGAGTTTGTAAATAAACAACTAAATTATTGCGTGTCATTAACTATCATTGCAGTAGCCACCACAGCTGAATGCCATTATATATGGGTCCACCCGTGTAGCTCAGCGGTAGCGCAGGTACCTCTTACGCAATAGGTCCCGGATTCGATCCCTGGTTCAGGCAAGACTAAATTTGCTTGTTTGCGTGAAGTACTTCAGGGTGTTTGACTGAGTGGTCCGCAACTCGTACAAAAGGCTGTGGCGTGTACTTGTATGTCTATGCATAAGTGCACATAAAAGAACACAGGGCTCCTTCAAGGAGGGGTTTCTGGTTTCTGGTTTTCTTTCAGGTTAATTACGTAAATTACGGACTTATATATACGGGATATACCCAAGACTTTAATTGCTCACCTTCATTGGTGGTAAACAAAATACAACAACAACAACTTACCAAGACAAGTATCCATTTGAGATTAGAATTTTTAACAAGATATCCTTCACAGATAAAACATCATTTTCATTATGCAAATCACAAATATCTTCTAAATCTGAATGTTGTTTTAAATCTTGTACATAGATATATATCTAAGTATACCAAACATAGATATGACATTATATGACATTGATACAAAAGTGATTTGCAATCTTGTACAGGTATTCATTTATGTTTCTAAAAAAAATTCTAGTAAACTATCCACTGAAACACAGTTATTGTTTGTTGCTATTCCACTACTTACTAGAAACTCTGATAGAGGTATTCATTTTTTGTAAATTAGGGCAACAGTTTCAAAGCATACTACCAGAAAACCCCCCTTTTCCATTCCAGGCCATGTTTGGTTTTCCATTTTCCGTTTTCCATTTCAGATGAGCTGCAGGTGAACATATCTTCATGGTCAGCATTCACAGTACTCTAAATGTGGACTTCATTACAACACATGTTCACAGTTGGACCCTATGGTTCCAGCATGTCATCACTGAGGGAACAAGTAGTAGGTCTGTGATCTTAGACTCATGTTCCATTACAGCTCTAGAGGAGCATCAAGTTATTATATAACACCTTTCCTCTAATCAATACTTTCCTATTTTTTTAATTTCGTTTTATGTTTAGTTATATAATGCCAGAGTGAGAACAAGGACCAAGTCTGAGATCTTAAGAATCATGTCTACCTCATAAAAAGTCAATATCCTTTCCCCAATCAATAATTTTGTAACTTGTTTAATTATTTGCCTATGTTCAGTTATATAATGTTATTGGAGTAAGAACAAGGACCAGCTCTGAGATCATAGAGTCATGGTCCAGTTCAGCTCTACTTTGGGAATGAGTCATTATGTAACACCCTTCCGATTATCATTGCCAAATGGAAACAATCCCAACTTGTTCTTTCTTTGATATAAACCTAACCTAAAAAATACATCATACAGTGATTAAGAACACCATGATACAGTAAATGTGTACCTACCCTATTTCTGCCAAACTCACAGGCCAGGTCTAGGGGAGTCTTATGGATGTTGTTGCGAATGGTTGGATCTCCCTGATGTTGAAGAAGGCCACTTGCCTGCAATACAACCCAAACACATGTGAACTATACTGTATAAAATGAATTGAATACCGATATGGTCAGATTCTTATGAATGAGTAATGGTAGATATTTCAAGCACAAGAAGCAAATGCAGGAATTACCAACATAGAATATCAGTATAAAAGTAGGAATATTTCCAAATAAGTAATTTGCTTTATCAATAACTCGAACACTTGTAGAGATCTAAAGACAATTAGAATTTTTCAGCCAGAAATCCTAGTCCAATTTACAAGAATTATGCTTTTATCATTTTATCATGTTGCATGAAATAAACCTTTGGACAGCTACATTTCCACATCTTTGAGTTTATGTCTAATAGGATCTGAAAGTGTTTAGACGTATGAGATCGATTAAACTTTGAAACTGTTTTTCCCGATGTTTCCCATCTTGATATGTTTTTGTAAGCAGGGAGTTAATCCTGGATATCTTTAAACAATACCTTCTTGATTTTCACACTCAGATCATATAACCATGAGATCATATAGTTCTAGATGACGGAAGGAAAATGAACAGTAATTATAAAACCATATTTATCCCTCTTATGAAATAACCTGTATTTATCCTATGCCAAGTAGAGTTTTAGGGAGATAAGTTGGTCAGATATATCCCGTATCCTGATTTTGAGGTTTCCATATCCAGAACCTCCATATCTCCCGCCATATCTCCCGCTTCGGTGCATATCTTCCCGCTTCCGGTGCATATCTTCCCGCTTCCGGTAATGCAATAAAATGACTTGATTTGTTTATTTTTACACCTTGTACTGTTGAAATGGCCATATGCCCCTGAAAACTCTACTTGGTATAGGATAAAGCAGTTATGTACGGTCGGTTTGAATATTGGGTTCATCCCTCGTGAGGTATGCACATCTACCTTCGGTCCCTACGGTCCCTCAGGTAGATATGCATATCTCCCTCTGGATAAACCCCATATCCAAAACCTCCCAGTACATAACCCTTATTTATCCCAGGATTATTGAGTCTAACCAAAGCACTAATTCCAAGGTTCTATACTGTTATAACTCTGAAAAATTAATTTTGGAATCTGGGCCTCCATATTATCTGTCACATCTGCTACAATGAAGTTGTGCACAATGCCCTCTATTTTAAGCCAACTGAAATATTTTCATCAAAGACATAATACAGTAGTTTGGCATTAACTCCTTGTGACCCCCATTCCCTAACATATACCTGTGACACACACTCGGAATGTTGTTGGGAGAAGGCAAAGGTTTAATGCAGGAGTAATATTACAGAGAGACCTACCACATCAAGGTGGCCATGTTGACAGGCAAGATGCAGTGGGGATTCCCCATCATTTGCCTGTTCATTGGAGCAGGATTTGTTGTCCAGTAATATCTTCACTGGTTCCATCTTGCCCTGCCATGCAGCATAGTGGAGTGGCCGCATGCCTGAAAAATAAACAGGAATATTGTTAATGTTCTATTGTTATATGATTTATTTTATTTCTTGTTTTGTTTTATTAATCTTTGAGTATATTTTTATGTATTCTATGAAAAATATCATGGCAATTATCATTGCATATGGAAAATCTACAGAGTAGAAAAGAGTGAAATCAGCAAGGGAAATAGTCGCAGACATGAAATTTACAATGCAGAAAAAGAAAATGATCAAGGACCGTGGTATACTGTAGGTGAATGCAGTGAATGAATATTCTTCAAGCTGATAGATAGATGGCAGATAAGTGTTTCATTTAGTGTTGACATATTGTATATAGATAACTTAACTCATATATAATACAAATATTATGTCTGTTAATACATATACAAGGGAGGTTAAGCTGTATTTTTGAGAGAAATTGTATGTGATTGTGTAGAATTATGATCCTCCAGGATAAACAAGTAGCTAACCCTCATTACTATCTGAATATATCAGTCTATACCACATAATTGTTGCGACATACTTTTTAAACCAACTAACTTTCATTGAACAGAAAATTACTAGCACTCATGTATTCACAAACTGGTCAAAACAGTTATATTTATTTGATAAATTATAGGAAATGGGAGTGTTATATGGGGCAAGTTTAAATCAGGGATCGTCATCAATACATCCAGTTGATAACATCACAAGATAACAATATATAAACAGTAGCATTGTTACATATAGCTAGTATATACATGTACATGTTAGGTTAAGTTGATAACAGTCCAGTGTGAAACCTCAGTAATATAAGTATCCATCTCTGGTAAATGAATGATCATTCAGTATAATTTAAGCATTTAATTGTAACTTTGGGTTAGACTTCTACAATATACAATGTATACAACAGCTTTATAACAGGTTATCTTTATTATGTCATTTCTGGCTACTAGCAACATGATTGAATTAATGTATAACTTGCACTTGAAGTCTATATATTGAGCTCTCTGATCTACTAGAATGTCATCATCACCTAGTTATTGAAAGGGGCCATTTCCAAACTTCAAATATATTTGGGGAGGGGGTGGGTATGAAGGCTCATGTCACTTTCATAATCTAATGATGTTCCAGGTTTTTCCTCAAGCGGCTCAAAATCTCATTTTACAATATTGAATCATGAAGTGGGTGCAATTAGGTTTTCAAGTGGGGCAAATGGGTTTTCAGAAGGGTGCAAATGGGTTTTCAGAAGGGTGCAAATAGGTTTTCAGGTAGGTGCAAATGGGTTTTCAGGTGGGTGCAAATACTTTTCAGGTATCATCAAAATCATTGCTGGGGAGATCACTATAACCAGTGTACAGAGTACAATCCGAAGAACTACATTCTCCATAACTTTTAATGCTTGGACATTCTCCTTGAGTACAAACATATTTAAAACATATGCTTGCTTCTTGTGTTATGGGACACTCTTGTTTTTTTCTTTTTTTTTGTCAAAATCAAAGTGTCTTATTTTCAATTGAGTTTCTGATGAGAACTTACTTTTTAACCTTTAGCAGACCACCGGCGACCGCATCCGCCCATTCAAAACTACCGCCAGAATCCACCGGCGGATCCGGACGACACAAATCTAACTTTTGAAAACTTTACTTTTTCCCGCCGTTCTTATGATCCAATTAGATTGCCCGATTTATTTAGTCCTTAGAAGGTGACTTCCTGTTGACCTAGAAATGGCGATGTTTCGAAAAATATTTCTCAATTCAACAATTAAACAGTGTTTAAGTCGTTTTTAGTGAACAAATCGTACAAAATGACGGCAAAATACGATCACAACGAAAATGTGGAGGAAATGGATTGCGATTTCGAGCTCTTTAGGCTCTTGGAAGCCGATAATGGTCATCGAAAATAGAAACTAGAATATTTTCTGAACTGAAAAGATGAACATTCGATCGCTGCAAATTCAGTTTTGGATTCTGACCAGACGTTGAATCTCCCGAGGGGCGAAACGGCGGATTCCGGAGGAGTATTCATGGTATATTTATGCCCAGTCGTGTTTATGTACGAAAAAAATTAATGAGAACATTTTTCTCATGAGCCACGCTAGTGTATCTTCCCTTTGTGAAAATTTTATCCAGATTCATTCAGTAGTTATCGAGATATTAATTATTTAGTCCAGGCATATCATTTTTGAAAAATAAGTCAGATGCATGGGATATATTTGCTGAAATAAGTCAGAGTGCAGAAGGTACAAAGCTTGCAGTTTTATAATAACAAACTTGGTAATATCGTATTTTTAAATTTATGTCTCAAGTTGATATTGTCACAAGAATGAAACAAATGTCACAATGAATTACATCAGAGGGAAAGAGCAGGTGGTCCTGAATATTGAATGGAGTTTTTTATCAGACATATAAAAACAGTTAAACTGCTATAAATTCCACACAAGTTTCATGCAACATTAGTCACTATCAACAATGAAAAAGGAACCCATTTAGAAAAAATGTTTGAAACAAAAAAGTTAGATACCCATTATAAACATTGTATAATATAGTTAGTTGCCAATGCTTATAATCCCGAAGAATACAAGAATGCTGTCAATGCTGTTCTGATAAAGCAGAGTCCATTTTTCTATTGCTTGCTGTATCTCTGATGGAGAGAGGAGGTCATTGTTTACCACGATGAACATAACATAGGCAGGTATACCACAATGTAGAAGGACCAACATATCCAGATTTAAATGATTTGTACCATAGATCATAGTCTAGCTAAAAGACTCTGTGACCCCCCCCCCTCAACTTGTAGTGGGGGTTTCAAGAGCTTGTAGCTAGAAAAATAGATCATTTATTCATTTCAAAAGTCCGATTTTGATTCTCTAAAAGAAAGTTTCATCTACAACTTATATACTAGGCTCTCTGACAGTAAGGGGGAAATGTGAATGTGCTAATAGATTGAATGACTGACTGATGGAATTGAAAGCAATAGAATCTAAACATGAACTGATGTAAGCAAAAAACAGAAAATACAATAGGAAAATCTTTAGAGAAAAGGACAGCCAAATACAAATCAATTTCAGCTCCCCTTAGTCAAATCTGATATCATTAGTATTATAACCAAAATTAACATAGACAGAGGTCACAATGTTCTACTGTACCAGCAGATTAGGTGGCCCAATGGACTGATTAATACTATTATTCATGATAGCATATCATAATCTAAATTTAATAACAAGCTATCATTTAATAATAACTAGCTATCAAGGTTTAAAGTGTCTGACAGCTTTAATTATTTGGATACAAAGGAATTCAACGTAATGCAAGGTTTTTTCTCATTTTGTCATATTCCTCCATTTTAAGCCATTCTTTATTTCGTTAGGCAGAAAGATTAAGTAGAAAGACTACCCAGATGGTTATGTTTGCCATGCTCACTGCCCTGAATTGTCAATATGACATCTAAAATCATGGCTATGTTGACAAGGACAAAGCACTCTCAAAATCAATCACAAAGAACAATGAGTCAGAAGGAAGAAGGTGAAACATTAGCAAAAACTTCAATTCATAATGAGTTTAATTTAAAATCAAGCTGCAACTTTTCTTTAAAACAACCTGTCAAGATTCTTATTAGGGATTGTGTCAAATCTTTAAAGATGAATAAAAAAAACTCCATGTGTTTTTGTTTTACTTTATAAATGTCAGAGTGCTCACTAAAGCTTCTGGTGCAGTGTGATTCCAAAGAAAAAAATGATGAGGGTTCAAGGTAAGGTTACAAATCCTGTAGAAACCTGTCTCTTTACAGATATTCTAAAATGATGGTATATTCCTTAGTTTGACTAAAGTACATTCTCACCTTTGTTGTCTTTGACATCAACCTGTGCTCCAGACTCCAAGAGGGCATACATGATTTCTGTGTTTCCAACCAGAGCTGCCTGGTGCAGGGCAGACATTCTGAAACCACCAATTAAATAATACATGTTAATACTGATGGATTGGTATATGTATGGCTTGCTCTATTGACTTGTAAACAAGGATGTACTCCAGGAGGGTGCAGATGATTTCTACCAACCAACATTCTTAAATCATAAATATTATACTATGACAAATACCAAGTTGTAATAAAAATGATATCATTCAAAATCATGTGGTATTATACTGTATATGTGCATGTATATATTTGGAGGTAATATTGGATATATGAGCTGATATGGTTTATAGGAGTTCAATTTGTTTGTGGTAATCAAATGTTGCCCCTTGTGGCTTCTGATTTATAAAAAACTGGGAATGGAAGGGGGAGAGGACATGAACTCTGTTTGATGAGGAAGTCTACTTGACATGAACATTCTGAACTTCCTACTACATCTAGTAATTCAAGATTGAAATGGAAAGAACAATGATGAATGAAATTGAACTTGAGCACATGAAACAATTGTTCAAGTGCCTTGGAGTAGTAGGTCAAGTGCTAGATTTGCATCTGGGATTCATAATAATGCTGACATAATGTCACCAAGTAGATATATAGAGTAACACTATTACTTAAGGAAGTCTTATCAAGGCTTAGATTGGCATATTGACAAAACAATAATCGTTTCACTTAGTGTTATGTTTCAGACATTTAACTTACTTTCCTTATATACAATGAATTTTTTACAAAGAATATGCTTATTTTGCATGATTATTGCTTCAAGTAGGTGCAAATGTGTTACCAGGGTTTCACAGATGTTGCCTTTTGTGCATTTATTTGACACTGATGATCTAATAGTCTTTGATTCAACTTTTTTTAAAAGTTGCTTGTTTAGTAACAAAACCAAATCTGATGGAATCAATTACAAATGTATACACATACTAGTCTCCTAGCAGGAAACTTCAATTCACACCTTCTTGTTTAGAGTGCTAAGTGGTGTAAGGCTACAAGAATGAAACTGAAAAATATGCTCTCACCAATCACTGTTATTTTTCCTAATATGATGCAAAATTCTTGTCTGATGAAGAAATCACCAAAACTGATTAATAATATACCTAATTTTTTTCTAATTTCTAGTGAATTTCAACTGAATGATCAGTCAGGTTACATCATGGGTACCCTTTTCAAGAGCGGTTTTGGTTTGTTAAAAGAGAGCTTCATCAGGGCCTCATGTACTAGGCTTGGAAACTCAGGGTAGATCACGGACAGTCGGATACAATGTATAACATAACATGAAGAAAATAAAATGAACACCCCATTTAAATATATCTTTGAACATTCATGAACCATGTTAACCTATTGATGTAAGTAAGTGAAAACAGCAGCTTTTTGCACTTATGCATCTCCACTTCAATTGATGTTAGCCTATACCTGAAGACTGCTTTACTACTTTTAGATGTTATTTTTAAAGTACTTACAATCAAATAAATTACAGGAGTTTGATTTACATTGAGCTTACTGTGCATGATATCATAAGCAATTTGCAAATCCCTTCTAAAATATAACATACTTTCAGATTTTTATTTTGATGAAAACGCTCAAAGGAAACAATGAAATCAGAAATAATCATTATATGAGAATCAAAAACCAGATATCAAATACAAGGTTTAAAGATGTTAATTTAAGAGCAAAAAAGGCTCCAAAACTTAATGAAATATGTAGTTTGGATGTTCATTTATGTCTGTGGATTATATTTTATACCACAAACACTTTATAAATACCTGAAAGTTGCAATAAAAGTGCCCAAAAATTGTTGTTTCGAAATTCCCCATTTTTCCTGTATCACGCTAGTCACGTGACCATTACGCGTAGCAGGCAATGTACAGATATTAAGGTACATATAAGGCTAATATGTTCAATATGGCAAACATCAGCGATTCTGATTCCCGGGTTCTGGGAAATGGCTATATAAATCGGCGAGAGGGTGTAATTTGAATGAAGACAATTTAAGGAGGGGAAATGTGTGCAAGTATGGCAGTAAGAGAGCAGATATGGGGACTTTAGACAAGAACTATGACGGAGAATCAACTAAAAATGTGAGTTCTGGAATGAAGACCCGTTGCCATTGACTGAAGATTCCAACGATCCTATTATCATACTCAGTTTGAATCTAGACGCGGAAAACAAATTTAGAAAATATGGATCTTGTTTTTGAGTGGCTTAACAAGCATTTAGATACAAGACTTGGCGCTATCTCTTGTCAAATACATGCACTGGACTTGCAGTAAATTGGCCATTGCAAATTGCAAAATCAGATCGTCAAATTAATCGCTTCGTTTTTAAACCTACGCTTCATATCTTCTTCCAAAACTTTAGGATTCGATAGAGATAAGTTATAACTTGTACAGGAAAAATGGCAGATCCTACCTTAATTTAGAATCGCTGATTTCTCTGGACAAATTCCGAGAAGAAATTTTCAACATCGCGATCACCTCAGATAACATGTCGCGTGCGTGTCACTCTGAACTCACGTGATAAAATACGGCATCTTGATTGGTTACTACTCGTGTTGTCATGACGCAAAAAGAAGTAGTAAACACTGAATATGTTAATGAACTGCCATATATGGAACAATTGTCTTTCTAATTGGTTAACTCTACACGCGTCCTAAATGAATATAGTAGTCGTAGTAAATGATTCATTGATAACTCTGAAAGTGGGCGTGACCAGCTTCATTTTGACACCAAATTCAAGATGTTTCAAATCAAAATGGCCTCGCAAGACGAGGTTGAAATATCAGCAATTTGATACTGATATGGTCTATGATAGATCAAAATTGCCTGCCCCGCGTCACATGTCACGTGAGCCTATATTTGTTGAAAAATGAAAGAGATAGTGACACTTTTTAATCTTAAGTTTATACCAATATTTATTTCTTCATTATACATACATTTGTTTTATACTACATTGATTTATTTTTGCAAAACCTTTGCTATTAGATCTTTAATTCTTTAATATTTAAAGACATACTTCAGAAATTTTCAGAATGATGTCATAAAAAGCCATTCACAAATAGATTGTTAGAACACATTAACCTACAGTAAGGTTGAATAAAAAACAAACTTTCTATGTTGCTAACAAAATGCCATTAACACTTTTTTATTGATTTCTTAACAAATCAGTGTGTTCTTGCCTGGGGCACTTGTTCTTCTCTAGTTATTTATTGTTGCTAATGATGTATTTATATAAAACAGTAATGTTCATTAAAATATAATAATAGTACCTTTTTATACATATATGTCACTTAATATTTTGACCAAACAAATCTGAATGGACCTGTCAAATTGAACAATTAGGCTCACATATTTGTTAAGGTACACAGAATAACAGATTTAATCAGATCAGACAAAAAAGTTAAAACTGAAATATCCAAACATAAAAAATTGATCACAGTAATTTTTAAACCTAAAGCTAGTTTCAATAAATCAACTGACCAGGTTCAGGTCATTTTTTAGTATTTTATCTTTACTTAGCATCTTTACATTTACAAATTACTTTACTCAAGAGTTCTCACAAACTGTTTATATCTCAGCATGACAAATCATGTATTTAAGACTATTTGCACTATCTCAAAGTATATCTTCACCTTACATATGCCTACAGTCCTTTTCATATTTTGGCTTTTTGTTCAAATTTTCCAAACATTAACCGCATGGGTGGGTAGCAATGTTCATTTGGATCTATCAATAGTGTAATTGCTACATGTCCAATAGGGTAATTGCTACTAATGAATATGTTTACATCCAAATATTTACCATAAAGGAACTCCGCATAGCAACATCAAAATAGGGCTAAACATTTTTGAGCACTATACTTTATGGTTTAGATTCATCAAAAATAATTCCAGTCATCTAAATATAATTTCAAGCTTGTTCTTATCGTATAGGTCAGACATTTCCATTTATTTTTGCTCCTATGTGATCTTTATTGAAAGGAATAAGAATTTGGATGAGAGTATGATATACTTGAGAAGAGCACTATATACTTTTTTTCTCCGTCCCAAATTTGTCTCATTGACTAACATCAAAAACCTTGAAATGTGAATACCTGCTTATCTGAACACTTATGGTTGGTTTCAAAGATATTCAGATGAGACAGATTTTACTGTAGTCTAATATATGTATAGCAAGACAAAATTTCACCACCCGCATTTGTTACAGACACCAACCGTCAAACATTGTAACAGATGCCAAACACCAACCACCAAACACCAGCCATAAAAAAGTTGTCTGGTGGTAACTTAAAAAATTGACATGAGACAATCATTTAATTATTGGCTATGTTTTCTTGTGGTAGTTTGCTAGACTTTAACATGCATGTTACTACATTTTTACTTGTACTACAATAGAACTTTTTAATTTGCATTAATATATTTCCAGTTTACTTTAATCTGCATTAAAATAATTCAAAGTATAAGCCCCAAGTTATGCTGTAAGAAAACTTATCTTGATTTGTTTTCAGTAATCTTAATTCAATGTTTTCAAATATTTTCATTAACTTTATTGAATTATAGTATTAACTAATAGATTATATTAGAAGTCAATATGATTTGAGAACTTGATCTAAATCTTCAGAAAAGTCTCTGACTTAATACCTTTAATCAAACTATGAGTCATTAAAACTTTCAAAAAGTCAATAAGTCCATAAAGTATAGGGCTTAAAATGTTTATTTTGTTCATAAAATATTTCCTTTTATATTTCCTATGACAGTGTTGCCTTAACACATTCAAGTATAAAATATATGTTACTAGTATATATAACACATTAATGTCAAGTAATATTCACACCCACATTATACATTATTATAATCAGTCCATAAAATTATCAAAAAAATATTCATAGAAGACATTTGATTTCCTAGTATTGTACCAATAAATATAATGTATATTTTGACCATGAATGCATACGCATTTGTAATGTTTAAGATGAATATACACAGATTAGTCTTGCTTAAAGCCTATATGACCCCCATCCCTCAACATCCCAT